TGGGTCGTCCTCAACTGCTTTCCCAGGCCACAGGCAGGGAGCTGGAAGGGAAGTGGGGCTGCCGGGATAGAACCGGTGCCCATATGGGATCCTGGGCGTGCAAGGAGAGGACCCTGACCACTTGCGCCACCACGCCGGGCACTTTCATAGCCTTTTTTTTTTTTTTGGTGTTTTTTTTTTATTATTATTTTTTTTTATTATTATTATTATTATTTTATTACATTGCATCATGAGACACAGTTTTACAGGCACTGGGATTCCCCCCTCCCCTTTTCATAGCCTTTAAAAAAAAAAGTGATACGGGCACAGTATAGTAGCCCAGTGGCTAAAGCCCTCACCTTGCATCCACTGGGATCCCATATGGCTGTCAGTTCTAATCCCAGCAGCTCCACTTCCCATCCAGCTCCCTGCTTGTGGCCTGGAAAAGCCGTCAAGGATGGCCCAAAGCCTTGAGACCCTACACCTGCGTGGGAGATCAAGCGGAAGTTCCTGGTTCTTGGCTTCGATTGGTTCAGCTCTGCTGTTGCAGCCACTTAGGGAGGGAACCAACAAATGGAAGACCTTTCTCTCTGTCTCTCCTTCTTTCTGTAAATCTGCCTTTCTAATAAAAATAAGTAAATCTTAACAAAAAGAAACCTAAGAAAATGAAAAAAATGATACAATCCCATTACGTTCTGTCAATTTCCTCCAGTCAAGCATGCTTTCAAAAATGTGAACAAGGGGTGTGGGCACCATCGCTTCAAGTCCCGCTGCTCCTCTTCTGATCCTGCAGTGTGCTAATGGCCTGGGAGAGGAGCAGAGGGCGGCTCAAGTGCTTGGGCCCCTGCACCCATATGGGAGACCCAAAAGATGCTCTGGCTTTGGACAGGACAAGTTCTGGCTATTGCAGCCATCTGGAGAGTGAACCAGCGAATGAAAGATCTGTCTCTCCTTCTCTCTTTTTACCTCTGCCTATCAAATAAAAATAAATAAACCTTTGAAAAGTGCAAAATAAAACTAAAATTAACACTAAGAATATGATCTATCCAACCCACCACCATGATTCACTTTCTTTGTTCCAGGCAATTCTATCAATGTACTCAAATTTTTGACCAACAACAGTGACAGTCACCTCACCAAGCTATCAATCCAAAAAGTTGACAAGAACTACTTTTAAGTTATTTCCTCTCCAATCAGTAAAAATGTTTATCCCAAGTACCAAACCTTTGAACTTCATCATACTGGTGTCAGCTTGCTTAGACCTTCCTGTACTGTCACTTATGCCACCTAATCTATCATCAGCTATACGGCCCTTAGAGCCTGAAAGACTTCTTCTAGGATACACTTACTAATCAATAACCAATACTTTAAGAAATGCATTAAATTGTTCACCCAATTGGGTAAAACAAGCAAGATCATGTACAGATACTGTTTTAGTCAGTGAAACTGAGGATTAATCCAGTCCTTCCACGCAAGGGGTAACTGCCGACAACACAGACTATGGAAATGTTAAAGCGCTATGAGGACCAAAACATGAAAACACTAAAGAGTTAAGACTGAACGTGTCACATCAAGAATTCACCTATTCTGTCTTCCAACCCACATTTTTCTGTCTTCCAAAAAGATATGAATAAGCTCTGTCAAATACCTTTAGCTAATAATATGACAGAAATAAAAATCACTTTCAAATTACACATACTTAAAACTAAAGACTAATGATTACAAAGATCAGGAAACCAATGCATAAAAGGCTTCTTTGCTCTTCTAAACTAAATCAGATATTTCAATCTACCTTCTAACTTTCAAACTAATCACTGTATTTCCCTTGGGCAGCAGATTTTTTAGAAATGATGGATAGATTTCTTTGAAAGAACAACAGAGTCAGAGAGACAAGAGGGAGATCTCCCATCTGTTGTTTCACTTTCCAAACTCCAGATAAGAGCATGGAGCCTGGCAGCAGTGACTCAAATACTTGGGTCATCCCAGGCACATCGGCAAGTTGGACCAGAAGTGGAGGAACCAGGACTAGAACAGGCATGCTGATACAGTTAGAGTAGGTGTCTCAAGCAGCAACTTAGCTCACTGGACTTCTACGCCCACCCCAGGTTAGCAAATTCTGTAATAAATCACATAAACACCATGTACCCTACCACATCTTTTTCCATATCTATATATACACACCCACACAATTTTTAATTTTAATTGGCTTCTTAGAAAGTACATCTCCTAATAAGTAAAACTTACTGACATATCAAACTTCCCTAACTTCTCATTTCTTTAAGAGGTAATAATTACAAAATCTGCACTGTGAGAAATTATTAGCTTACATTTGACTCTCTGTCCTAAACAATCATTTTGATAGTATGGAAATTAGCACAATAAGTAATATCTGAAATGCTGCCATATGATCACCTTGATCCTGGAAAACTATAATCTCTTGTTTGACCCAAAACACAGAATTGTACATATGCACTTGCCACCTTACTTAAATGGTCATTAGGAATACCAGAATCCCTTAAAGCACAGCTGAAATTCATTGTTAGGTAACGCACATCCCTCATAATTGCTCAACAGAAATCTCGCCTAACCCACTTAGCCTGACACTCATGAGCTACCACCGAGCATCTGCGTAAGAGTTCTAGTGAATACTTTTATTCTCAAACATAAGACGAATCTTTAAAACACCAATGAAAACTTCCATGACTGTTAACAATAAACCCAAGCTTGAGTATGGAACTGCATTATCATCTTTCTTGGTAACTACATATTCCCAATAATTAAGCCTTTGGGACTGCAATGTGATCCTAAACATAAGGTAAGAATTGGCTCCTAAATTTGAAACTTGAGAGTTTACCCAATAACCAATTCCTCAATGGCAAGAGACAGCATAGATGCTAAAAGCATAACATCCACTGGAAGCATAATAACCTCATTCAAAACAGAGAACAGTAAAAACAGGAAGTCTAATCAGATTTCTCTAAGGTTTATTGTACTCCCAACAATACTTCCTCTATGCCAAGTACTACTTATCTAAGGTTTAGACACGGAGTTGATATTAGTTGATTCTATGTAATCTAGTTTCTAATATGTATTTATTTCCCTCAAGTCTTCAAGGCACTAGGAATTTTAAAATATGGATACATAAAGTCAGAAAGAAAAAAATTTTAACTCATTTCTCAGGACTTCCTAAGGATATAAGAATTTAATTAGAACAGAAATTACCTTTCAAATTGCTCAGAAACTATTTAGATGCTCAAAATAAACTAGAGGAGACACTGGAAAACTAGAAATTTCTTACATTCTTAAACTGAAAAGATGTTCAAAAGCTACATTCCAGTCTTCCCTACTACTGCTTTTTCTTAATACTTTGCCTATGGTGTGACAAAAGGGAATTTAAGGAAAAACCCTAAATTAAAGCTAAATAACCTTCCTCCCACTATTTTCCTGTGTGTACTTTTATTTAAAAAAGTGTTCTGCTCACACGCTAGCTTCCTTGGAGGTGTGGATAATTTAAGTACGAACAGGTAAAAACATTTGTGAACTATCAGCACGTAAAATAAAGCTATGCCCAGCTTCTCTCGCTGGTGACACACTACCGTAACTGCACAAGGTGAAAGGGAAAAGATCAATACTGTGGGAGAACCTAACCAATGTAAAAGTTGAATGGCACGCAAATCACGTCCCAGTATAATCTTCCCCAATACATGAACAATTACGTTGTCTACGGAGACACAGAATCCAGAGGCTCGGAGGCACTTCCTGGGCTGAGCTGACACACCGGGCCAGCACTTGGCCTGAAGCCTGTGGCCAACGAGGTGTTTCCCAGGAGCAACTCTTGAAGCTCTAAATTCCCCGACTGCGCGTGGAGAAGCGAAAAACAAGAAAACCTCTGCCCTGCCATGAACCGACCTGCTTTCACTGCCCCCCTAACAATGCACGTACTGGCACACAAGCCAAGTTCTTTCCCCCTGTCCTTTGCCGGGATTTCACGAGATCCTTGCAAACAAAAGGCACGGCAAATACGCACAGGTGGGAGAGAAAAGGGGAGTGGCGGAGACCCACGGGCTCCCGGGACAGCGCCCCCACGCCGCCCGCTTCTCCCGCCGCACCTGAGAAATCACTGCCCTCCGCCCCTCCACCCTTCTGGGGCGTCGGGAGCCGATCCTCTGACCCAGCACAGCCCCACCCGCACCTTGGCCAGACACCGGGCATTGTCTGGAGCCTCCAGCGCCCAAGGCAGGGAAGGCGAACGAGAACGGGGGAGAGAAAGCGAGAAGGAAAGGGAAATCAAGCAATCGGCGGGGCGGACGCGCCTTTTCGGCACAAAGAGCTCCCTTTTGGCAAAATGAGTCGACCCTCGACAGAATTCAGGTCACCGGTCCACCGACCCGAGCGCCCGTAAGCTGTGCCCGTCTGCAGCAGGCAGGCAGGGAAAGAGGAATGGGCGTGTAAGTCTGGGCCTCACTGGCCCAGAGGCCGGACTCCGAACAAAGCCGCCCAGCTCCCCTTACCTGGGGCCGGGGCGGCGCCTCCCGGCTCCCCCGCGCCGCCGGGGTTCGGCGACGCCCCCCGGCCCCCGGCCCCTGGCTGCGGCGGAGGTCGCGGCAGGCCCCTTCCCCACTCGCGAACAGCACCCCTTCGGGACAATGGGGGTCCCCTCCCCCGCCTGCAGGCGGGGGGATACAAAGGGAGAGAAGCGCGGCCCGGCTCGGAGCCAGGCGTCCGGAAAGTGAAGGCGGAGGATGGCGGCAGACGCCGGAGCCCGCCGGCCGCCCCGCCGACAGCCCCACAGCAGCGGCGGGAGCGCGAGCTGCCGGGCGTCCCCCCTCCCCGGACCCCCGGCGAGGAAGGAAGAGAGGGGGGCTGCACACAAAGACTGAGCAGGACCCTCCCGCCCTCGGCCAGCGGCCGGGGCACCGACAGCCCAAGGCAGCCGGGCCGCCGACGGTCCGCCGCGCCCGCCCAGCCCGCGCCTCCCGGAGAAGCCACCGAGTCGCGGGGCGCCCCTCTCCCCTACTCACCCAGAGCTCCGTGCCCCAGCTCATGGCGGAACTTGAGGGGAGACTCGGGTTCCACCGGCTCGCTCGCGCGCGCTGTCCGTCCGTCGGCTCGGCCGGCCGTCAGTCTCGCCTGGCGGGCTCGCGGCTCGGCGGCTCAAGCCTCGAAAGCTGCCGCCACCGCCGGGCTCCCCAGTGAGTGAGGAAGACGCGACTGGAGCAGCCGCCGCGCCGTCCCCGCCTCCCGCGCTCGGGAGGGGGCCGGGGCCGAGGGGAGGCGGGCCGCGGGGAGGGGGCCAGCGCGGTGCACTGTGGGATCGGGGCGGCCGCGCGCGCCGCTGCCCGCGGCCGGCGGGGTCTCCCCGCGGACATGGCTTCCGGCCGCCCACCCGCCCCTCGGGGCTCGAAGGCCGCTAGGGTCCCTGTCCTCAAGAGGGAAAGGGAGAAAAGGAAAAAAGGCTGCCGCGACCCCTGCCACCTCAGCCCTGCTCTGCCTTGAGCGCCGGAATTTGAGGGGCTTAAGTCATGCCAGTCCTCACCTTTGGTGCCTCTTGTCTCAACTCAAAGGAGAACAACTACAGCAAAACGTCCTGGTCTGGTCTTGAGTTTAGATCGAGGGAAGTTGTGTTTTAATTTTTTTAAATGAATGTTAATGAAAAGCAGGTGGTCGAAGTAATCTCTTATTTCGGGGCCTGATTTTCCACCTCTCGTTTCTTGGGAATCAGTAAAATGTGGAGAGCTTGAATATCAAATGCGGTGGCAACGTCCCTGATTGTTTTTAAATAATTTTTTAAATTGGATTGTTAGTTTTACCATAAAAACCAAGTGTCCAGTAATCACTTGGGAATGTTGCCATGCCACGAAATCAAAGACAAGGACCAATGTGAGGCGAGCTGTCACCTGCGGGAGAAAAGGCACTTGACAGATTTCTGGAATGGGCCCCAGTGGGTGGGGGCTGGATGGCAGCCAGACGCCTTTCTGGCAGAGCCAACAACCCTGCCAGAACTTCCGAGATCTCTCGCTTCAGAAAATGGGAGCCTTGGAGGCAGGTCCTCCCCAGAGTCCCATCCAGGCCTCACTCTGCAGGTTGCACTGGAGCTGCGAAGAACTCAGCATGTTTAGCAACTCCCCAGCATATGCTTTGGTATTCATTGCTTCTCTCCAAAGGCACGCTCTGCAACCCAGTCCACTGACGCGGCACTCCTCGGTGCGTCCTGAGCTTCGCGTTGAGCTTCAGACTCTGTGGCTGAACTGCACCTGCACAAGCGGCCCCAGTCTCCAGCCCCCAGGCCCTGTCCTCACCCAGCCAGATACCCTTTGGGGTGGAGGCCAACAGCACGAGGTCCCGACAGCCCAGGCAGTCCCCTTGCTACACCATTTGCTGCTCTCTTTGAGACCAGCATATACATACTCTCTTCAATTGGATTGTGGCCAATTTTTAGATGCTTATTTATGCCATATGATGGAAAGTCTGTAAAGCCTCAATTATTTTTTTCTTTGTGACACAGTTTAACAGGCATTGGGTCTCTCCTCCCCCTCCCCATGTTCCCTCCCTTCCCCTGCAGTCTTACAATAGGTGTCTCATGTACGCTCAGAAGTCCGTCATCCGTCATTGAGGTGTCGCCCACAATGTAGGAGATGTAAAGCTGCAATTAAACAACACTTTCTGATGTTTTTTCTACGCATCCTTCATTTCTTATAAGATTCCTTTGTGGTTATTTGCATCACCCAACCTTCTCTCCTTTCCTCTCACTGGCTCCCTAGACATTACGAATGTAATTAGCAAACACAAGTAACATTATTTAGGAATGTAAAATATATTAAACAGATATGCCATTATTTAGAATCATTCCAGTACTTTTTTAAAAATTGCTTTTATTTGAAGTCTTAGCATAAAAACTAAGACATAGGAGCAAATTCGCCTTCCCTATCAGAGACAAAGTCTACTGAAAGTTCATGGGAAAACATACATTATCAAACATGGTGCATGAATTACAACTTCTTTTAAAAGGTATTTTATTTGAAAGGTAGATTTACAGAGAGAAGAGACCAAAAGATCTTCTATCCACTGGTTTACTCCCCCAAATGGCCACAACAGCCAGAACTAAGCATGAATGCAGGCGCTTCTGAGTCTCCCACATGGATGCGGGGTCCCAAGAGGACAGCTCAGGCCGTCCTCTAGACCTTTCTCAGGCCACAGGCAGGTAGCTGGAGCAGAAGTGGAGCAGCCAAGACTCAGACTGGCACCCAAATGGAATGTCGGCTAGAAGGTATAGGATTAACCTGTTGAACCACAGCGGTGTGCCCTCCAAAAATGTTTGCACAAACATAGAGTTACCTTTTAATTCTATTTTCTGAAAACTTTCTGAAGCACATATATATACACACACACACATATATATTTGCAGCATAGCAGGTTTGTTTTCACATAATGAGAATTATCTGAATAGGAAATTATTTTTGTACACCGTTTATTCTTTGTGAGCAACAACAAGGCATTTTGTAAGTAGTTCAAACACATACTTTTTACCTCTTAAAAAAGGTAAAACAACTCAGCATCTTGACAGAAATCTGTTATCAGCTTATTCCAGATGCTTTCACCATATCAAAATTTGAATCATGAAATGATACCAAACCTGTCAAACCAATTATCTTACACCTTTCTGCTACCTTGTCTATTCAGGTAATTAATTACTACACAGTTTTATTTCCTATGACATTTTTATAAGATAATCAACACTTTCAAAGAATTGAAGAAATAATATTATTCTTTCTCCACTGGCAACTCTTTTTACAATGGAGCCAGACGTTTTACTGAGTAAACAAGAAAAGCTTTAAATTACACAGGCTCTTTAGCAACTTAAACAGTCACTATCCCATATTTTTTTTAATTATGAAAAAACAACTTACTGAATACGTTTTCTTTTGGAGTGTAAGATTGAATTCTAGGTGTATAACAAGCTATTGAAGTATCACATTTTCTTTTGCATATTTTATCATGTATTAAATCACATTCAATTCCATTTTATATTTTTACATATTCAAGTGTTTCACTAATGCGCTTTCCAGTTTCAAATTTTCCTTGCATGAACTCCTTTATTAAACAGGATTGTGAAACTCAACTGTTAACTGCTGCATTCTGGGATATATAACAATTTACCAGTCCAAATGAATCAACCTCTGACCTTAAATCAATTTCTTGTCTTTAAATTTAAACGTTGGAAAAGGCTGTTCCATACTCAAAATTAACAATGTCCTAAGCACTTTTAGGAAAGTAGTTTTGAAGGAAAAAATAAAGCTGTAGATCAACATAATCTCTGACGTATAGGGAGTTTTCTTAGCATTTATGTGTCAGTGTCCAACCCATGAATGATTAACAATCATAGAATTTCTAATCCCTGCAGGAAACAATCTCTAGCATGAATAATATCAACTCCTTTCCTGTCACTTAAACATCTTAGGACTGTGATTTAAAATGAAAGCTATGGAAGCAGTATCCACAAAGGAAATTAATAACTAAATCAAACCAATCACACTAAAACGTTAGAATATTAAAAACCATGTTCTTAGCACCTCCATATTAATGCCTCAAATAAGGCACCACACCAGAAATGAGTTCATACCAGCATACTGATTTCATGCCAGCCAAACGAAGAATGGCACTGGCTGGTTAATAGTCCTCACTCCTTTCTGTACTGCCAGTTTTCCTAACCAAGAACTGGAAGAAATCCAAAACCTCAAGGGCATAGTGCAAGGTGACTCACCAAAGACAGAAGACAGAAGCAGCAAAGCAGCCAGGCAGACTACCTATTATTTTATAACTGTTAAGATCCTACTGTCCACTACTGAGTTCAATGAAAGAGTTTATGAAATTGCGCTAAAAGAACTAGACAAAAGAAAAAGAAACTTCTATAAGAATCAGATGGAACAGATCTCTTTAAAGTAGTAATGCATTTCAACCTTTCTGTCATTGCTGACTGGTTATTTCCATCTTCATCATGATATACTGTGCAACTTTAAAAGGTTAAACACTTGCTTAATTTCTCCCCAGAGTAGAAAATATGGCAGAACAAAAGTTAGATTCAGATGTTTAATTGTAAGTTCTCTAACCCATTCAACATTTCCAATAATTAAATTCTTAAAATAATACTACTTTTTTTCTTATTGAGTTTTTTGGAAATTTTGGGGCCTGTGTTGGAAAATTTTAAGATACACATATCTATTAACAAAGAGATTACATAGTCCTTTATTTTCATTTTATTATTACAATCAGGTACATCAAATGAACTCAAAGAAACAAAAGAAGCTGGTGTAAGTTCATCAGAACAAATGGTTAAAGTTTTCAGGAAATTTTCCAAGCATGTTGCCGGAAAGGTTAACCTGGGGGCAGGCAATTGGCCTAGCAATTCTGACACTCATTGAGACACCTGCACACCACATCAGACTGCCTTGGTTCAAGTTCTGACTCTTCCTGCTGATGAGTACCCGAGGGCTCAGCAGTGATCTCAAGCACTTACTTGGGTCTCTGCCGCCCACAAGAGAGTCCTGGATCACCAGCTTCTGTGGGCATTTGCAGAGTGAACTAGTGAATGGGAGCACTAGCTCTCTCTTTCCCCTGACACGTGTGTGTGTGTGTGTGTGTGTGTGTGTGTGTGTGTGTGTGTGTGTGTGTGTTGTGCTGCCTCTCTGCCTGTGGAATACATTTTTTTAAAGTTAGCTTGACATCAGCCAAGTGGATGTTTGCCAAACACTTGAACAATTTTCTATAGCTATTCCCAGGACATTAGCCAGAAGTGGAACAGCTGGGACATGAACCCATGCCCATACAAGATACCTACATCCCATGTGGAAGCTCTGGGTGATACTCCATGTTCAATCCTGCTTCCTGTGAAGGTTCCTTGGAAACAACAGATGATGGCTCAGATACTACTTCTGTGGGAGACCAGGATGGAGTTCCTGGTTTCTGACACTGGCCTGGCCTAATCATATCTATTGTAGTATTTGGGGAGTTAATGAGCAGATGAAAGATCACAATTGCTCTAATAAATATTTTTCTTTTTTAAATGGAGCCTGTT